TATCTCAGATCCATGGCAACGACTAGGACGCGCTCCCAAAAAGTGCACAACCCCAAAAATAGCGGAAAACGATATCTTATTAGTATAAGATCTTTGATTTGGGGGCAGTTAAGTTGTGAGGGTTGTCAAAGATCTTATAAATACAAGATAGCGTTCTCCGCTAATTTTGTAATAGCGTATTAACCTTCTTGCTAAGTTGAAAACTTTTGAACCTTGATCGCTCTGACCATAGCGTACGCCGCGCGACTTTACGTTTACGCGTAAGAATTAGAAGCTTCCGATTTACAATGCGCCCTCTCTTTAGAACATAGGCTATGTTCAGACACAACGACTTACGCTAGCGTAACGTTAATCGAGTGGTGTGAAATTGTGCGCGGCGTAGCGAACGCCAGTATTATCGCACAAGCATTGGCGTATGTTAACCTAGCAACAGACCCCAGATTAGCGTACGCCACTGAGTTACGACAGTCACGCATCAGTGATTTTGAACTCAGCCAAGATTTGACCAATCAAAATAAACCTAGATGTAAACAGAAAATAAAATGCGCGAATTACGAATACGAATATTTCGCGTGAATGCTTACGCTAGCGTTCATTAATCGCCCAGTCTGGACATCTCGCTAGTTACGCCATGGATTAACGTACGCCCGGCGTTAGATACGCCTGGCGTATCTCACAGGTCTGAACGTAGCCTTTATGAACAAGTTAACGTACATGGTAACGAAATTTGGCGTAACGCGAACACCCTATCTCAGATCCATGGCAACGACTAGGACACACTCTCCCAAAACTAATTATTTTCTGTGCCAAATCAAGGCAATAGACCTTTCCGGAGTGTCAATCAAACTTAACAACTGACCTATCAGAACAGCGCTAGGAATGCGCGCCGTCTTACAAACACACGTGTTGTCCCACAAACGCACGTGTTCGCGTATGTTTTAACACTGCCGTCTTGTGGGACCTTAGCAACAATATCCAAGGGGCGGAGCTTAGCGGAAAGGTCCATTAAACACGAGGACGCACATCTCTGGCATCGACATTCTAGGCGCACGTGCGTCCCTACACGCTGAACGTCACAAAAATCATAGCAACCAGACCATAAACCGGCCGTCAGCGTACGTGACGATTTACCCACGCGCATGTTAGTTGCCTTGTTAGTCACGCGTCTTGCGGTGATTACAAAGACCTAATGATATTTTGCACTAACATTCGACTGAAACATGTTCTTCATTTCAACATTAATTTTACCAAAATTGTGGTGAATTGTCGTTCATGAGACTCACTTCGCAGAAAAAAATTAATGAATGTTCTATATATACTCAAATTGTTCGTTTTCGGCACCTTATGCCAACATTGTCAAAATGACAAATTAATGTTACATAAGAATATGAAATTTTATAAAATTCGTAAATTTTAAATTGCTAAAACTTTTCATTTTCTTGGTCAATTTTCACAAATCAAATTGTAATTTATAGAAGCATTTAACAAGCTCGTGGTCAAAAGAAAAAAAAAAAAAAGCAGATGTAACAGACATTGCGAAGTACCCAAAATTAATAGAATATAAACTAACACCATAAAACGAATGGCACGCATAGACAA